TATATATATATATATATATATATATATATATTTATATTCTCCTTTACAAACTTTGTCTGTTTATTGGCCACCTGTTTTGATAAACATAGGGATAAGAAGAACACAACCACAGCAGGGATGAAATTGAAAACAAAATATCAGTGAAATACACAGTCATTCTCCCAGGGCAGATACCAACCACAGAGCAACTCCCCACATACTTTCTCTTTTTCTGTTGCTGGCTTCAGCCTTTGCTTCATTTAAATAGCACCTGGCATATTTGGTTGAGGATACGAATTAGGTTGCAAACATTCCTGTTTCCTGTAGAGCTGCACAAGTTTGGAAAGTGCTTGCCCCTCTGGCTGAGCAGGGTGAGGGATTTCCAAGTGCCAGTTTCTTCTTGCAACTAAAGAAATTACCGTGTGTTTAGATGGGGTTTGCATGTATCTTGGTTCTTGTTTGCAAATGTTATCTTGCAGAATGACACTGGGCGAGTTCTACTGCTGGGACAACTCACATGTGAGAGGGGAGTGTCAGGCAGAAGCCCTGTTGCACTTACGTGTAACAGGAATGGAGCAGTACCAGTTCTTCCTCAAGTACTACATCTTGCTCTGTCAAACCCCTCTATCCCGGGCCTATTTAATCACCACTTTGCACTTGCTGGACAAGATTGCAGAGCTGGTTTCCCTCCTGGGACCATCCCCTGACTGCATCCATCTGAACAATTGGGAGCCAGTACCTTTGAATCCTGCACAGCTCTGCCCCACAATGCTCCCACTTCTAGTCGACATCTTAAGCAATAGCACTTCAGTGTCTCAGCCATGCTCACTCTGTGAGTGGTTCAAAATAACTACAGATCCAGAGCTTGTATTGAGTGGCTGAAGTGACTGTTTGCTCTTAACAGTCTGTGCGTGCCATGAGAAAAAACAAAAGTTGTATGTGTATCTATTTTGCCTAAAGGCCCATTGCTTGGGAAGGTAAGGCCTGTGTTCTGGAATCACACAAACAAGTGTGCATGCATCACCATTTCCCACATGTGACTGTGTCCCCTGGACAAGAGGACTTTCATAATTGTTTTTCTGGGTTAAGAGCTGAGTTATATTTCTCTTCTAATGAGATATGGCCAACATGTCATTCTACAGCCGCTCTTGGATCAAATCTCAACTCTTCTATCTTAAGCCTCTCTTGCAAACATCACACTGAAGTGGGAGCCTGGATTTTCTGAAATGTCTGTGCCTCTTGAATCTACAGCTCTGCTGTGTGGATGCCAGAACTGATGTACATATACTCAGGTATTTCTGGTGCAGAAATATTAGCACAGGTGTAGGTGACCTGACAAGATGCAGTACAAAGCAGGAGCATGGTTCTTGTCCCTTCTGATTAGGATAGGACTTCTGCCTACAGAATCACCATTCTCGAAAAGCCTGTAAAAGCTGCTGTGTCGTGATAGTTTGCAGAAACTGAGGATCATGTCTGTTTAAGGTTTCTGCTATTGAACCTCAGGGCAGAGAGAGTTTGAATATCTAATTCAAAACACTTTAAACAACTGCTTCATTGAGCAATAACATTTCATATAGCTAGTCTCTGCTTGTTTTGCATTTGCCCTAGGGTCTGTAAATCACAGTATTCACAGGCAGGCAAGGGGTGAGCATGTAAAAACACATGGGCAGAAAGTTGAAGAGTTGGGAATGGAAAATACAGGCTCGTCTACTAATTTTCTTTTGTAAGATGTCTGCACTGGAGAACATGCTCTGCTGTAGAGCAGGCTAAGTTCTCTTCCTCTGTGTATTCTAGCTGGCCTCGGGTGTTGTCCTGTGCCTTGACCACATGAGAGACTTCTGTCAAAGTGCAGCTATTGGGGTGTGTGTTACTGGGGAATCACATGTGATACCTTTCTAAAAATGGTCCACGTAGGTGTTAGTGCAATTTCAGAAATTCAGTTCCCTGTGTATTGTTGCTGTTCAAAGCAATATGAATTCTCTTCCTCCACGAGTTTGCTGAGCTAGATCAGGTTTTTTTTCCATACTTTTAACAGCGGTTTAATAGGCAGGTTGTCAGCTGCAGTTACATTTCATCTAAAAAAACCCCCAAAAAAAACAACAACAACAAAAAAAAAACCAAACCAAAAACAAAAAACCCACCAATTCTATTTAAGTAGCAAATTCTTAGATCTTATGTTCTTTTACTTTTTTCCTTTTCTCATATCTGTTGAAAGGAATTTGCTTCCTAAATTATTGTATTAATCCTCATTTAAACTCAGAAACATCATTGTTTTAACTAAAGTTGAGTTTGTTTCTTAATGGAGGTACTTAAGCCTGCACAGCTTTGAAACCAATAGAAACGTACCCAGAAGGGAGTTTGTACCAGGTCAATTACATCTCTTTAAGCCACAACAAAACGTAGACCTGAGGCCCTGTTTTGGTTTTCAGAAGTGTCTTTTTTAATTTTATGTCAGTTCTCACCTCAGTTGCATTTGCTTCGCGCTGTTAGGAAGCTCTCCTCATGCATGCCAGTGATGGTGACTAGTGTTTTTGAAACTGATAGGATGAAGATTAACAGATTTTACTTTTAAACCCACGATGAGTTTCCAGGTGTGCTGCAGCATGGGTTTTAAGTTGGGGCTTGTTCTTGTGGTTTACCCACTCTTATTTGGGACTGCACTGCACCAGAATGTGGTGGGTCCCCCAGAGGGTGCCCTCTCACCCGTCTGCCCAGTGCATGCTTTCATGTCTCCCCTTGTACAAGCATTAGTGGCAGTGCAGCGGGTGGTGTGAGCCAAGAGAGCTAAGGGAGCTAGCTAAGAATCCAGCCCTGCAGCAGCACAGAGACAGGATCCTCGTGGGCTTTGGCCAGGTGGGTGCAAATCTGAGCAGCATCCCTTGAGCCTTCTTTGCTTCTAGTGGGATAGGAAGCTGCAAATTGGCAGAACATGAATTGCCTGATAAAGCAACAGCTAGATTAGACAGCGTGTGTATTTTACTGTGCTTCATTGGTTAGGTTTATAGTGGTGCAAGACTTCTGCTATAGCAGTGTACAGTAAACATATCTAGTGAAAGAAGGGAAGCATGCCTCTTGCAGTGCTAGTGAGAAGCACAGAGCTGTGCTGAACAAATTAGAAGTGGGTGAATTAATTCAGCCCTGTTTACCCTTAGGTGCACTGCTGTTAGAGTCTGATGTCCAGCTAAGTGCAGCCTGCCCTGAGACAGTGGCTATCCTGAGAAACTTAATGTGGAGACAAATGATACCTGTAAGCATTCATTGAGACTCAGTAAATATTGCTTTCCTTGAACTTCAAGCATAACTGTACATCCTGATGGCAATTGCAGAAATGGGAGTGATGCTTTAAAATTTCTCCCTTTGAAAGGAAGTAGTTAATATTTTCTTAAAAGCTCACAGATTTCAAACTTCAGTACTGGCTGCAAATTCAGCCAGCTAACAAGCTTTTCTGTTTTTTGGGGGTTTTTTGTTTGTTTGGTTGGTTGGTTGGTTGGGTTTTTTTCCTCACTGTGCTTCATTGTTTCAGAAACCTGGTAATTATTATTATGCCTGAAATCTTTTGATGGCTCTCTCTGCCTCATGTTCTGTGTTGGATGCCTGCTGTATTTTGTTGTTTGTAGCCTTTTGCTTGTACAGGCTTTATGGCAGCTTCATGTCCTGCCCTCCATTGAACAAGAGACTGTAAATTTAAAAGTATATGGAAGAGCTTAGGGAGGAGGAGTGGCAGTGAAGGCCTTTGCATTCTTGGAAAATTGATGTCAGGACTGTACTAAAAATGAAGTGATTTGCGCTTGTGTTCCTTGAAGGAAAAAGCTAAGCTATATTAGTCTGTGTAATGGAGCTCCGTCAGCTTTAAGAGACAGCCAGCTTCTCTATCAGTACATATACCTTTGACTCCAATTCACATGGTGCTTGCACTAATTAATTTCTGAATTTTCTTTTCTTTTGCTAATCTGCTTAGCTTTGAAATACTCTCACACATGCACTATCAAAGCCAAATCAA